CATTGGCTACTATTTGAGCTGTAGATTTTATTTTGTTGTGCGAATTTCAATAAAATTTTACTCATTATGGAATAAAAGTATAAATTCTGACATTGCTAGATATTTCAAACTTGAACCTTGCCAATTTGTATCTTACTCTGATGCGACCACATTTCACGGCAATTAAAGCTATTGGCATTGACATTCAATTTAAGCAAGAAATAATAGAAGAAAGTACGCTTGTGGTTAATTACGTTATGTACTGATTTTCTAGAATTGGTGCAAGAATTCTACTGAATAGAAACACTACAATAAAGGAGCCAATCTAGGAAAGGGTAAATTGTCATTAGGAAAAGCGTAGATGCCATGACAATAATTGCAATATACCAAATATGACAAACCGAATTGACTTGCATCAACGCACAAATATTCCCAGCGATATTATGGGAAAGGAATATAAAAGAAAACCGCCAGGAAAATTATCTTTACGTGATGAGGTTGCGAAATGATGATGTTTCTGTCAAATTTCATTATTATTTTCAAACAAAGAGTTTATTTCTGTAACCACAATTCCAACAATTTTAGTTAATTAGTCTGCAGGTGTGTGAATCCAGAACACAAGCGACTTTTCTATTGAATCAGCGAAATGAGATGCAAATTGCAAAACTTATTTAAGTTCTCTTTATTTTTCATTTATAGAACATTCTCAAATGTAAAGATGTGTAGATTGAAAGTTGGAATAAAGACGCTACGTTGGACTTATACAGTTTTGTAGTTCTTAGAAACCAGCAATTTTGAAAGATTAGACTAATTTAACTGCTTATTAGAGAAGCAATTATATTTTTAGTTAGAAGCAATTAGTAGGCTTAAATTTTTTAATTAGTTAGTTAAGTTAACGTGTTATTGATTAAATTGAATATTAGAGTATAATTTTTATTAAGTTACTCTGGTCTTGTGACTAGAATGCAAATAAAAAAATGATTTATTTCATTTTTTTCACCCGACGTTTCGTTGGTATTTTTTCAATATCTTGAGTGGTATCAACAATTTGAGTTTAATTTAAGTTAATAATTGTTTATTTAACAATTTCATTTGTAAATTAAAAATTAAAAATTAAAGAATGTTTTTTTAAATATTGTGAACACTTCTCCAAATTACCGTTTAAAATCGTTTTAGTGTAGGTATCAACACAGCAGTTGAATATATTGTTTCATCTCACTTCATTTGCATATTTAAAATGATAATAAACTAAGACAATATATTATAATAAGTCAATAAGCGTTAGTCGGTTTGTTTTATAATTGGATATTTTTAAAGCTGCCTTAAAAGAAAAATAGCTTATTAATGAAAAAAATTAACAAAAAAACATAGTTCTTTCTATTTGTAATGACGTCTGAAACAAATAAATTTAGTCTTGCAATGAATCCTAAATAATTGTAACGTATTTTTAATTTGAATCAAAGAATTTGGTTAGTTATGGGAATAGCAAAGTTTTTTATTGGGTCTAAGTATAGCCTAAATACCAACTTGTTATCACACTGTAAATTGAAACTCTAAAAACAGAATTTTTATTTAAAACCAACGGTGTAGGTTATTATATAAAGTTATTTTTGTAAGACCTATATGTAGGTTTTCCACCTTCATCATAATATATCTTAAACATAATCTTAAACATACCTTAACATATCATAAACATATTTTAACTTCACTGGACTTGATGGTTTACATAGGAAATATTTAATTACATTTTATATTTTTCTTCCCTGCAACTTTAACAACTCTGGTTTGGCCTTTTAGCACCGCCACAAATTTTACCAATTCGATCCTAATCCTACACAATCTCTACATTTTCTCTCTACAAATTTAATTAATTTTAGAAAATAATTTTGAATAGAGTTTTGTTTATTCTAGTTTTACTCAGAAGGATGTGAATCTCTATATTAGTTTAGATTTTTTTAAAGTGCACTTTTTTATAATAACAGAAATCCATAACAAGAAATTGACCAATTTTATCAATAAACTGAAGCGTTCACTTAATTCCGGAAATTGACGCCTCAAAATTTTACGCAGTTATTGCAATTAATTGTGTAATTAGATGATTTCGTTGTATTTTGTATATTGCTAAACCATAAAGCTACAACCTACTGTTGTGCCAACATCGCAAGGCTATTGTTGTACTCAAGCACTGACCAATACCAATATTTACAAGAAATGTACACGACGTTACACAGACTACAAGCATTACTTCACACCAGTACCGACCATGGAAGCCACGTAAGCAACAACATCGCCACTGTAACAATAACCAGAATACATCTTCATGCTGATTCTGGTGTTCTTTTATGATTGCTCTCGTTAATGTTGAATGCTTTGCTATTGATGGGGCATCCCATATACAGAGTTGCCGATATTACAATATTATGGTTGTAACAATGTTGTAAGTAAGAATCACAGCGGGCATTATTTATTTTGCATTGAAATTCACTTAATGTCGTACACAATCAAACGCTTTCAGTCAAATACATTGAGATACATTTGAACTCAGTTTGGGTTACAACGCACACAGCTATTGCAAGAGAACTGCTTAATATGCATGATAAACAAACAAAATGAAACATAAAAAAATATCTTAAATAAATTAAATTTATATGAAATTACTTAGAATCGATTTTAAAATATTTTTTACTTCTTGTCATTTTCTACTTTTGCACATAAAACAGAACTAAGCAGGACGACTCTATTTTGGTTTTAACTCTAATGGTCTAATGGTTGTGAACTGATTTATGTGCAAAGATTTTTTATATAATATATTACAGATATTCCACATATTTATTTAATAAAATAAATATATGGATATTTCGATTATTAATACTAGCAATTTTTTTCTGAAGGATTATTATTGACACTAGTGAATCCTTTTTTTCTCATATTTTTAAAACTCATAGAACAAATTTGCCACATACCAAGGAAATTTTGCTCAAAAATGTGTCACTCCTTTAGGAGCTCTCATAAGTATAACAATCAGTAGTATTCATCTACTTAATTCTGACCCTACTAGTCATTGTGTAAGAGATATGTACAGGACAACACTTGATGAGCCCAATAGAGATTTTATTAAAAGCTAGTCAGGTCAGAGATATGAAGGAAACAATTGAGCACTTTTTAAGTCACTGTCCGATTCTTTCTAGATAAAAATGAAATCCTTGGAAGATTTCTATAGTAATTTTTATAACTGATAGAATTTTTCTATGGGAAACCTAGTGATGCCGCTAGAAAGGGTGTTGGGAAGACAAGGAATAATTTGCTTTTCAAGGAAAAATTCCTAAATGGTATCATATATAAGTCTCAAATACTATCATAATAAAGACGCAAAAAGTTTAGTTTATATATTTTTGAAGTAAGGAAAAGTGGACTAAAGACAGGTAGCTCTAGAAATTTTATATAGCATATAAAAATATGTTCATAATTTTAGACAGGAATTAGTTATTTTATATTAATTATATAAATACTAGATAACCCGACAAACGTTGTTTTGCCTTATAAATTATTTCTAGTTTTTAGATAAATTCTAGTGTAGACTTACTTAAGTAACTAATTCTAGTGTAGAAAAGTAACTTACTTATTATAAGTGTGTAAGTATGCATGAAATAGGAATGGAGCGCTATAAACGAAAAGGAAAATAAAAATAACAAACGCCAAACAATATTATTTTTAAGTTATTATAGTTTATTTATTAAATTATTAATTTAAAATCAATAGATTTTATGATACCAAGTTCCCTGGCAACAACTGTTGTATCTTCAAATTTAAATTGTCTTGGATTGACTGTAAATAATAATAATGATAATGGGCCAGTAACATTAACCAACAACAGTCGAAGATAAAAGTACTCAGTGTGTCTTGGATTAACTATAAATAAGCGTTTGATTTAAATAAATTGAGACATGCATCAACTGGTGAAACTTGCTTGCGGGGCATCCATTTTTTTGTTTAAGGCCATGTGAAATAGCGTGGTACTTGTGAATAGAGTAATGTTTTTGCAAAGGCACCAAAATCATCCGTACTATTAAACAATTCAAAAAATGCAGTGAGTGCAGATTTAGGTGGATTTGTACCACGATCAATCACTGTCTCGTTCGTGAAAAATACAAGCTGACCATTTTCAAGATGGACGGCTACCTGAACAGCTGCTGGATCCCGTTCATGAATTAGAAAGCCGAAGATACGCCAAGCAGCTTCATTGGAGGTGATGTACCGACCAATTTGGTAGAGCGTAATTTCACCGTTTTTGTTCATTGGAGGAGCATTTACATTAGTATTTTCTACTCTAAACACAGCCATACCACCGCCTTTATGGACATACTTATATATTTGATGCTCTTCACAGAACTGCAAAACTCAACATTAATATAAGCATTGTATGTCTTGCTTAGCAGAGGCGAATACGTTACCACCCGCCATTGTCCCCCATTATCGGGATTTCTTCGACGATATATTGGATATCCGTCGGTATTTGTTATAGTATCATTAGTGAAATCTTTAGAAAAATTTTTAGTACATTTTCCATCTGCCATGCAAGCCGAAGACGAAGAACGAAGTCGATGTAAATGCTCGATGTACTTGTTGGCGTAGTTACATAAAATATTAAGAAAAAATTTTTCTTTTTCAAAAATATAAACAAAATTTATGTCAAAAAAATAAAAAATTTTTTGTTAAAGCAATAAAGATATTTTTGCTGGATAGGGACACCCTAATCACTTTAGCGGTATGAAAAATAGATAGTAGCTGATTCCCAGACCTACTGAATACGCATATAAAATTTGGTAAAAATCGGTAAAGCCGTTTCGGAGGAGTACGGTAACTAACATTTTGACAATGTTAATTTTATATATAAGATTTTCGTATTATTTTTTTTTTACTTGAAAAATTAATTTATTGAAGAATTTGAAAATAAAAATAAAAAAATAAAATAAAAATATTATTAAACAATAATAAAATAACAGATTTTACTGTAACCGTTGGATACAGTACCTAAATCTGTACCACATGACCAAAAAAATATATTGTTTCCGGGGAGCGTATAATAAACACAAATGGATGATTGACTTGAAAGATTTTATGATCGGGATTGAAGCTCTTATAATAAAATTTGACAACTGCAATGAGAATTTTACAAATTAAATGAGACTTAATTACAATATTTATAAATTAATAATATAATTACACGTAGCAGCTGCTGCCTCAGAGCCGGCTTCATTAACATCCAAGAAGACTTTCTGTTTTACTTGTGAAATTTTGGATGACGTATTCGATTTATACAGATTACTAAAATCAGCATCCTTATTAAACATGCTAACCATACCTAACTGAAGTATAATGAGAAAAAATTATGTATATGTATAATGAATATAAACCTTTACCACTTACCCTCTTAAGTGTATCTTTAAGATCAATACTAAATTCTATTCTAAATCTAGGTAAACTTAAATCCACGCTTTCCCACTTCATTTGCGCTGCAATTTCTCCAAAGTCAATACCAGCTAATTTCCGTTCCAATTCTGCTAAACCATCGATACGATGAGGCAATAAAAACAGCATAGATACGTCTGAGTTATTATAAGGTAATTCTAAAGCTTTTGCATCAAGATCCATCAATTCAGCATACTTAAATCTATCACCATTATACATCATATCAACGAGCACAATCTCTTCTGTATTAATGGAGAAATTCTTTTTTTGTGTTGTAAATCTCGTAAAAGGATTTGCCCATTTTCCCTTAAAGTATATAGCATTTACTAGTATTGCAGTAGTGTTTTGATTTACTTCGTCACTTCTTAACAAATTTTTAATTTTATTTTCCGTTTCCTGTTCAATCCAATTATTGATCCTTACAACCGTATTTGCAGAATCGGCAAAACGCACTCTCTCCACTGCGGCTTGAAAATAGTTTAAGGCAATCTCATTGAACTCACTTTTAATTTCCAGGGTCTCATTTGCATAAATACGATTCACTATTTTAAGTGCTGGACCATTTGATGGGCTTTGTAGTCTACTTTGTATAAGGTTTCGATAGTGTTGACTTATGATCTTTTTGTCATTCGTAGTTAATTTTAGTCCTTCATGCATTTCTTCAGCGGTTTTTCCATTAGCTCCAAAGTATGCAAGTCCAAGACACGTTTCAAGTGAGGTTGGAGATATAATAACATTTCTGTTGGTACGTTCAAGTACTGCGGTACTAAAAATTTCCATAGCAAAAGCAGTGCGATTGTCGTGGTGAAGTGGAAGACTGATAGTTAAAGTTGAGAATAAGCCAATTATGAAGAAAATAAATAATCCACTTTGGAACTGTACTGTAATATGTAAACCATTAAATTATTTCTGATAACATCTCATAAGAAAATATTGTTCTTATATTTACCGCTTCCCATTATAAAGTATAAATTAATTTTGCATAAATAAATAAACACACAATAATTTTAAATTAATTTATTAAAATTTTTTAATGTCATAACTTATATAAAATATTCTTATTGTATCAATAACTAAATATATAACGTAGTCTGCTAAGATATATAGTATATATATTTTTTGTATGTTTTGAAGAATAGAGTTATAATAAGTTATTATATTATATTGAGGCTAGTTGAGTCAGTGTACCTGAGCACTTTTACTCTTTATTAAGTGCGAGGTTTCTTCAAAATCCCTCTTTGCGCCTTGACTGGATTATTGTTTATCACTTCATCAGACTAAGCAATAATTGACCTCAGATATGCATATCACCACGAGGAGCCTGTAACCATTCTGAGATTTGATAATGCGGTGTTAGTAAGTCTGTCAGATTTCATTAAATTATATTATTATTACTGTGTCTTTTTTAGTGCTGTTAGCTGACACACACTTATTATTTTCGTTTCTTTTTTCTCATTTTCTTGTTTTGTACTAGCTTAACATAAGTGAAGTAAATCATGTCATAACTGAATTTAATTAAATGAATTTGAGTTTGGGATTCATTGTGATAATAATCAAAGATTTCAGGGACTTGTACCACATGATTTTCACTATATTAGAGAATATCACTTTTAACTATAAAATTAGATGTCTTTTATTAAATTATTTTACAAAATAATTTATAACAACAGTTGATATTAAAAACTGATATTAATTTTTGTTAGAAAAATGAATTACTACTGAAAGACTTAGTGTAGGGTAAATTTTAAAAGCTTTAAGTTTAAGAGAAAAAGCTCCAGGAAAAATTGACATTTTTATTTTGCATAAACATTTACATAGTCGAAAATATGAGGTCATTATATGATGGCATGGTTATACTAACTCAAAGCACATTGTTTGCATTGAAATAAAACCATTGTTATAAAAAATATATTTATTATGAAAAATATTTTATTTCAATAATATATTTTTTTTTGATATCGTTTATTATTTATAAAAAATAAATAATTTTGTTATATTAAATATAAATGTATTAAATTATGTATTATTTTTTATATTCAACTTTTAATTGCTTTTTAGTTATTTTCTAATTTTAGTTTTAATCTTCCTTAAATCAATTTAAGAAAACCAAACTATTGCACAAATATATTAAGTTCATGTACTGAATAAAGAACAAAATGATAAGAATTACCTTAATTTAAACAAACAGATACATATTAAAAACTTAAGTATAAAAAGTAGTAGTTCGTTTCAGAGGCCAATTACAGAAAAATGGCGTGTAAATTCTTTAGCAAAAAATTATATAGTAAAAATTTGAAGTAAAATATAATTTTCCGATAAAATTTTTAAACATTTTTCAAATATATTTATTTTTAAATACAATATATTATATTTTAACTTTAAAAATTTTTAAACCAAAGAAAAACTTTCAGAAAAACAATCTAAAATATATTAAAAAAGATGCTCCCAAACTAAAGGAATAGATGTTCAAAAACTCACCTTTTACAGTTAAAGTATTTTCAAATGAAATACTCTGCAAATGTTACCTGTATAATTACATATACAATACAACAACAAAACAAAAATACGAAACAATAACAACAACTACAATATTGCAAAAATAACTGCATTGGAAAATAATACAAAACAGTGAAAAAATAACTGTATAAAAAATTATATAAAAAATAATAAATATTTCAATATCTTACCTGATATTAATTGCCAAAATAAGACAGTATTGTGTTCCACCTTGTAAATTTACTACAAAACTTGTTGCTCATGCAAAAAGTTTCAGATTGAAAACTTTGTTCGTTAGAAGTTGACGTCACTCTTCAGAAAAATATTAAAAGAAATTATAGAAAATATAATAAAGTCAAAACAAAAGAATTTATTAATAATAAAACTTTAGTTTTTGAATTTACTTTAAAATAGTAATCATTGGTGGGTCAAATAAATATTCAAGTAAGTTAAAAAAAATGAAATTTTATCCATATTGTTTGTTTGTTTCCAAAATGCAGAATAAATTGGTGTTTTGTGTGTATTAAGAATTGAAATTGTGTTTAATATTAAAAATAGATAAAATAAATAATAATAATTCATTATTTTATATACATGTAAAATAAAGAAAATATCTAAACGAATATTTATTAAACTTTCTTATAAATGAAATGACGAAAATATTTTAAGATAAAAACTGCTTTTGTTTTCTCGCTCTTTTCGTGTTTGTCTGTCTGACTCATGCATTGTGGCATAAATAATAAAAAAAAACATGTTTGTGTATCTCAGTATGTTTACGAAATACCGGCGACGAAAGAAGAGAGCATAACAAATGTAGAAAATGAGGTAATACGTTTGGGAGATAAAAACAAATAAATATAAAAATATACACCACGAAGAGAAACTAGATTTCATTTACTTGGGAAGACTAAAATACATAATTTACAATTATCTTTAAATCTTTGTTGGAAATTAATATACATATATTTAAAATTGACTCATACTTATACTTAAAGGTTCATTTATTAATTTACAAAACAGTATTGTAATATTTTTAAAAAATTTATGAAATACTTCTCACCTATAATCGTCAATAGATTGCTTTTCTGTAACTAAAAAGATCTGTAAAGTTCCACAAAATTCTAAGTCTCCAAATTTAATATAAGTAAATAAGTAATCCCGATTTTTCCTAACAAAGGGCTTTCTTGTACTTTTCACAGTCAACTTCACACTAAAGCCGCATAATCATTATAAATTTTAAGAGATACACTGCAAAGCATTTTTTTTTTTAATTTCCTTTGATTCTACTTAGTGGTTTTGGGTTGACGCCCTTTCAATTGTGGAAGATAAAAAATAACATTTGCGGAATACTATACTTATTTACTATTAAAAAATATAGAAATGTTAAAGCAAGATAAAAAATTAAATAATTTGTATGGAGAAGCTGTATCGATAGATCGCCAGTGTTAAAATTGTTTAACAAAATATCGATCAACCAATTTCGATGACGAAAATATACCATGTTCTAGAAGACCAGTTAAAGCTGATAAAAACACAAGGTCACTAATTGATGCAAACCGGCGGATAACAATTCGTGAGAGATTAAAACTATCGAATTCGACCATTAATTCATATTTGAAACGGTTAGATTTAGTTTTAAAACTAGATATTTGGGTTCCTCATGTTCTTACTTAAAGAAATTTGTACCGTTACATTAACGTTTGACTTAAGCAACTCAAAAATCAAGATAATAGTACATTTTTGGTAT